ATTCCTATTATTCCTTTTCTATAGATAGGGATTCCTAGGTCAGAGGTGAATGACATGCTTAAGATGATACTGCTGGTGACAAAGACAGGGGAATAATAAATCCTTGGCAAGTAGCCTAGTGATACTGGTTTTGGGTCAATCTAGTAAGATCCTGAGGAGGAGGCTTTTGGTGTATTAGAAGCATATCATTGCTCATGAATCCTCTGCATGCAGTTACTGAGGTCTTCTTTTTTTTTAGGGTACCATGCTCGCTTGAATCGTCTCCCTGGAGCTGCAGCTCGGTGCCTCAGAAAGGGGCGAAGAAGGCTTGTTGGGAAGGTGATAGCTCTCACTGTTTACTAGGCTCATTGGGAAGATAATACTCCCTATGGCACTTGTGTGTCCTATTGATAATCATGGTGCTGTGGAACTCCCTAGGGGTAATTAAGCCAAATGTATTTTGCGAGTTCAGAAGAGTGAACATTATATAGGATATGAATGGGTACACACATAAAAGATGAAGCTCGATTCATACAGAAGTTCTGACAAAGCAAACACTATCATGACAGTGTCTACTGTCTGTCAATCTGCAGGCCTGATCTCTTGTCCCTTCTACTCTTTTGATTAATCTTAATATTATGTAAGTTGAAATACTTTTGACTTCTTTATGACTCTTCTTGAACTCATGAATGCTTCTTTTATTCTAACTTTGGTCTTTTATTCTAGAATTCATTAAAAAAAGAAAAAAAACTGTAAAAAGACCTGTTACCAAATTGCAAAAGCCCCTCCTTGGCCATGAGGGAGAAGTATCTATCATTTACCCACTTTTGCCTTTGCTAGGAACTATGCTAGGCACTCAGTTCATTTAATCCTGCCAACAACCTTGTAAAAAAAGGTGGTGTTTCCTTTAGCAGATGAGGAAAACTGCAGTTCAGAGAAGTTAAGGAATGTCTGATATTACCCAGATCGAAGTGGCAGAATAGAGAATTGAACCCACCTACTTCTCTTTTATCTTTTTTAATTTAAAATTTAAAAATTATTTTATTTATTTTTTACTCCCACTTAGAGATTGAAAATAGGTTAAGACTGAGGCTCATACCCAGTCAGAAAAGGTGGTGGTGGACAAAGAATAAGGATGAGAGAGGCATGTGAGAGCACTCAGTAAGCATCTAGAGTGCTGCATGTGGCCGCCTGGTGCCAGCCAGGCACTTGGTGGTCAGAGCCACAGCCTGGCTGCCCTTAGCAAGCTACTGTTTTATAGATTAATCAGGGAACTGTTTTCTGCCAAAGAATTGAGGATACTTGTTTTCAGATGAATTCATATGCTTTTTAATCTTTAAATTCAATTTCATATCTCTAATTAGAAAGACATTTGATTAACGGAAGAGCAATACCTCTTCTTTTGGATTACTCATTTTATAGGCAATAAAATGCTACGCTTGCTATTCTGGGAGCTTACTCTTAACAGGACGCCTAGCAGAGTAGGAGTAGGTGGGGTGGAGGGAGGCGGGAGGTTGGGAGTGGGAACAGAGTGACAGTTGGACTTTTTCTCTTTATTGGCTAGGCCTGGCAGATGATGTTCTCCTTACCACCTACCTTACTTTGTTTCAGCTCCTATAAAATAAGAGCCTTCTACTTCCAGGGAAGTAAATCATTTCATCCTGAAGGCTCCCTTTAGCTTGCCTGGAAGGAAAGTAGGGCCTATTGGATGTGTCTCTAATGATTTCAAATGAATAGGATAATATTTACTTGTTTAATTCATCTTCATCACCTTAAAGGGATATTTGTCATTTCTACCAGAGGTCACTGTTCTGCCCCCCCCCCGGTCATCTCTCTTCTCTTTCTAAACTGTAATCATAAATAATGAGTTTCATTCACAGCTCCCTGCCAGCGAGCTGCTAATTACGCAAAGTACTGCTTGTAATTTACACAGTAATAAACTGTAAATTTAAGCATTACGGCACTTTAAGTTAATAATTTTTCTGCTGTAACAAATAGCTCATTTTTCACCCATCTTTTCCCTTGGCCCCACTACCATGGCCGTGTGTGTGACCAGGAGGCACAGGTGTAAGGGATGAAGAATATGAAGAATACAGTATGTGAAACCTTTTCATTTAACTCCACTCCCACCCAAAATCTGACCTCAAGTTAGTTTTTCTGTAGCCAGTTCTGCTAAAATGCGTATCCTAATATTTAGGCTAATCCGCACATATAGATGAATACAAATAATAATGCTTGCCCAGAAACAAATGTGTTTGAGTAACAGGCTTGACATTTTTGACATTCATGCCTGTGACTTCCGCTCGCTCATCTTAACACTTACTCATATGTGCGTAACTCTTACTCATGTAACAGTTCATGTTGGTGCCCTTCCCCAGGTTCTGTGATAGATATTCATTGTAAATGTATTCAAGTTAAATGAAGGGTGAGTGCCTTCTGCTGTTGTCCAGTTTTTTGGAGATGATTAGCTTCTGAATTGCCTGTGGTGTTATGGGTATGGTTTCATATTATAATCTTGAGAACCGCAAATTGAAGATCCAATTTATATAAACTTCTATTTTTACTTTAAGAGATAATGTTTAACAGACAAAATACAGGGTGACAATTTTTTTAAGTTACAAAAGTGGTTTGAAGTGTATACATTTAGTCAGTAGATACTTACGTGTTACCAGTGAGGCCTTGTTGTAAGTGTCCCGTTATGAAGGCTCTTGAGGCTATAATCACATGACTCTAGGGAGCTTGGTGTGCTGGCCTGTTAAAAATTGGCTGCTATTGAATTTTTTAAAAAAAGTGTTTCAATATACTTTAATAACTCCAGGAGGTATTTACGCACTATATTAAAATACTGTATATGGTTTAAAAATGTTTATAATGACTTTTTTTTTGAGCACTAGGGAAAAATAAGTCTAGAATAATATGCAATACTTTTTAAGGTAGAGTCCCATAAAAAGATATGTAGTTGCTGTTGGAATTTAAGATTGACATTTGACGTGTGCCTTTGGGGTTGCTGGTACAGTTATGGAGGTGTGAGCTTGATGATGGATCGTACTTACATATTTGTTTCTGTGGTTAGATGACACTCTTGTCTTCCTTGCCTTTTCAGGAGACCAGCATAAGTAATTTGGGTACTGAGAGGATAGGCCACATCATTAGTGACCCTCGGCAGAAAGAGTAAGTGCTTATGTATTTACCGGTAAAGGGAAGTTTTATGAAGGAACCCAGAAATTTGATTTTAGAGCTGAAAGAGATCTTAAATGATTGGTACTTTATAACAGTTAACATGACTAATACCCTAAATACATGAGAGTGATTTATTTTTTTCTTTCTAGATTTATTTGTGTTTCTTTGCTTTTTATGTCTATAGGTGCTACATTATAAAAGTAGCCTCCAATAAGGGTGTTATATTTGAAACTAATTTTTCTGTCTCTTAAAAATTTTTTTGTTAAAAAACAGATGATTACCTCTGTATTCTCCTATATGCTTTTCCCATTTTTAGACCTCTAGACAGAAAAATCTTTTCATTCTGACTGCTGTGATAAGTGCAGCTGGAAAGCCTGTATGTAGCTATAGGAGAATCATTCCACCCTTTCTTGAGACAGCCTTGTGCTGTGACATGGCTGGCTCTTTGATGTCTCCAGTACATATCATGGCCAGTATCCAGTTATGATCCTGTGCTCATCCAGCCTGGTTGAAGGTTTAATTGATAAAACAGGCAGGATGTGCATGTGGTTTATGTCTTTGTTGACTTGGGGATCCTGTTCTCACTGTACAACTAAGAGTGCGTTGGTGTCACACTGTAATCTTGAGTTTATTTTTAGTGTCCAGTCTTCTGCATTCCATTAAAAGACTTTTTCCTTTGAAGAGTTATTTCCTGCAGAAAAGTTCATACACATTTAACTTCTCTCTCCTTTCTCCTCCAGTTCCATTTTTTTCTGATTTGTCTTCACTTCATTAACCCAGCATCTTTTCATCTTCTCCTCTCTATAATTTTCCTACCACTTCTTTTATTGTTTTCTTTCCTGTTATTCTCTCCCTCTCTTTAGTTTCTGGTTGTCATCAGCTGGGAAAAGAGAACGAAATCAGGTAAGATTGCTCTTCTTTGTCATCTTTATCATTTGATTTCCTTTTCTTTAGAAAGAATAAAGCTTTGGCTTCTGGTTTTCCTCACATTTCTGCTTGTTCACATGAGGTAAGGCTCCCGTTCCTTACGTTATTCTGATTTTCTTGGAGGACTGTTTTTCAAGAATATCTAGTATTCACTGATAAGAACTCTAGCTAATTCCCCTTTTTAGAATCAAATGTGACCTTCAAAACATATTTCACAGCGATCCAGTTTTTATCCTAGTTTTGAACTTTGCACTAAGAAATCAGAATGAACCTCATCTGCTTATGGTTTAGTTCAGCATCAGCATCCTGTGCTGAGAAGCACAACATTGAAACCTGAACACAGGAAACAGAAGGCAGAGCTGCTTTGGGTGAAGTGGGACGAGGCCTTAGAGCCTCTCACTTTTTTCCTGGCTGTGCCCCGAGGGGATCCTTGGCACATCTAGGCCTTTGTCAGGGTCATAATTTTAAAATTACTGACACTGGCTAACAATATGTTCCTTTAATGTTTGAAGCTTTTGGTTTTTGTTGGGAGAGAGGTTGCTTTACCTTGATGATTAGTTATGAAATAGATTAAGACTGATAGGTAAGAATTCTTAGGCTTCCTATTGCTTTGTGGTTTTGGGTGTTTTTTTTTTTTGACTACTTATTAGCTTGTTCAGTTGATACACATTTTAGACTAGGAACCTTCATCTTGAAGTCACTATTTCAAAATGAACTATAATAGCAGTAGACCTAACTGGTTTGTATTTATGATATGATTTTAGATGATGTGTGGATACACAATTTTTACTTTAAATTACAATAATCTATATTAGAAAAATGTAATCATTATAGCAAACTTGTTATTTCATAGACATGTAGTAAGGACAGACTGAGTAAAAATAATTGATATGAAGAAAAATATTAAGTAAATAGTAGAGCAGGTGGTGGGCAGATAAAGAAAAAACCATTTTTACAGATGAGAAACTGAAATTACTTTATAAAGTTAAAGCAGTATTTTATTTAGCCCTCCCAATAATCCTATAAAATAGAGAAGACAGATGGCAATACATCCAATTTACAGATGAGGATAGTAAAGCCTGAAGAGATTTTGTAGTTTTTAATGTATGGCAACTTACTGGTAGACTAGAAGTAAACGCTGGGTATTCTAATTCTTAATCTAGTTCTGTTTCCACTACACTGCTGCTGGTTGTGCTAACCAGTTATTCACTGGAAACATCTGCCAGGATAAGGAAATGAAAAGGTAATTTTATGCTAGTGTTCTTGGAAACGAGGGCTGGTCATCAGCAGGCATAACTTCCCATTATGTCAATTAGAAAGTACTGTCTTCTGCTATTTAAGTAATTACTGTGTATCAGAAGTTTTTGAAAAACTGTTGTTTACCAAGGAATAGTCTGTTTTTGAGGTGTGCTTGATCAGTTATGCTACATTCATGGGTTGAATATGCACAACTTGATTGAATGGTGTCTGTGATATGACAAAAGAATTGAACAAAGGGGAAAAGTGATCAGGTAGCGGGTTTAGGATCAGGTCTGTTTCATGTAAGCCTTACTGAAATCATCTCATTTATTCCTGCAGTTTAATCCTCTTTCTCCCCTTTATCCCTGGACGTTCTTGCTGATGCTTCTCACCGAAGGTGTTCACCAGCACACTGCTCTGCCAGGTAATTGTCTCCCAGTGGCTGTTTTTCTCCAGGCGATACTATTTTCCTTTTCATAACACTTTCACACTAAAGTATGTTTCTGTATGGTACCCAATTTGATCTTTACAACAGTCTTTTGAGGTCATCAGTTGTTTTACAGATGCAGAAACTGAGGCAGAATGTTGAAGTACCTTTCCTGTGGTCACATGGCTAGTGTGTGATTTAAATCTCAACTTTGACCTAAATTCTGGCTCATATTCCGTATTCCTTTTGCTAAAAGCCCCATCTTCAAAGAATGTTATTAATGGTTCTTGCCATGTCATGCACAACCCTGTGTGATCTGATTCCTGCCTCCATGTCCAGCCTCCTTTCACAGACTTCTTCGTCCTCAGTGGGGAGAGGTCCAGCTATGCCAGAGAACTCTGTTTTGTTCTTCAAAATTACAGTCCTTTCCTACCACTGGTCCCTCTCATGTGCTCCGTTTGCCTGGACTCCCGTCTTAGAGCTCTTTCCATGATTGGCTCCTTGTCATCTCAGCTCGGGCCACCTCCTCCGGGAGGACCTCTCTGACCATCCTGTCTAAAGGGGCCACCAGCACCACTGTCTGCTCATCATCTGTTTCTTTCCTTTAGAGCTTAATCACAGTCTGTAATGACTTTATTTATTCGTTTTGTCCCTGTCTCTCTCACTAGAATTCAAGCTTCAAAGTGCTGGGACCTTGTCTTGTTTCCTGTGTCCCCAGCACCTAACACAGTGTCTGGCACTTACTGGGCATTCAGTATATATTTGTCAGAATGAATGCTGCACCCACATAGCAGAATGAAACCAGTGCCTCTGAACATAAATTCTCTTAAGTTGAGTGACATGCAGAGTTAATATGATTTTAATGACAGCGTGCCCTAGTGGGTTACTGTGCACAGAGAGCAGCTCATAGGCTGAACCATAAACTTTTGTTATTTTAGTGACACAAAGATTTTCTTTCCAAGGTTCTGATGATTGTTTTTTCTTTTTTTCTTCTTAACATGTTCTTAAGTGGATATATTTCATAGATTTGGGGTGCAGGCTGCACAAAGAAATTATTCTTTCATGGATACGTCAGAACTTCTGCTATGGGCTATAATAATTAACTCTGTACCATAACCTAGTGCCTAGCCTTCCACTGGAAAAGTCGTATTTCAATAGAGAAGGTCTTTTGAAAAGAGAGACTGTTACATGAAGAACTTGGAAAATTGTGGGATATTAATAAACTACTGTAGATCTTTTCTTCAGTTGCATGCTATTTATTCATCCTTCATTCATCATTTGCTGACTCCCTGCTATGTACAAGTCACTTTGTTTAGTACTGCCCTTATGGGGCTTATATTCTCATGGGAAAGTCAGGTGTGGAAATCGATAATTACAGTGACAAGTGCATGAAGGTGTGTGTGCACCAGGATGATATGTGCAGCACAGAGAAGCAGCTCCTGACTCAGGCTCAGGGAGCTTTTCTTAGAGGTGGTGGTGTTCAGGCTGTCTTGGAAGACACAAGATTTCAGTCCATAGGAAAGCAATCTCCAGCTTTTTGTCTTAATACCAAATAAAATAATGGCTGTGTATATACTCTTTGGGAAGACTGTATGAGTAGTACCATATAGTATCGTGTCAGATGCTGAAAGTGGATTATTTGCCCTCCTCCCTTTACCTCTGCTACCTAGAGCTGTGCGGTGCTGAGATTAGTATCCATGCTTTTATCAGGTTTCCGGTTGCCTTTAAGGCCTCATCCTGGCTGGACTGGGTGTGAACTTCTTGTTTCTTTGTGTATCTCATTATCTGTATCATTATCTTCATTCTCTTGCTGGCAGTGCTTGTGGCTGGACTTGGAAACATAAGGAAGCCCAGGCTGTGTTTCTGATGCACTCAGCTCTAGGGAAATATTACTTACCGCTTCAGACTGTTGCTGAAAGCAAGATGAGAGAATGTGGACAACTATGGCTCTTCCTTGTCCTTCCAGACATCATTCCCAGGCAATGGATACAAAGTGGGTTGCAGATATGAAGGTTCTTTGGGGATAGGGAAGAAGGGTTTTTTTTGGAAGAAATTTTTTGAAATTTTCATTTATTTATTATCTTTCTAAAAAAATTGTATGTGCTGCTGAAGTGAGCACTGTTTATTATCTTATCCTTAAATTTTTTAAAAGTTGTACATATAGTTTAGCAGCACATATTTTTGTTTTATGTGTATTTATTGCACATAAAAGAGAGAGTTTGCTCAAATTTTTTTCCTGATGAGTGCACAGTCAATAAAGTTTGGCAACCACTAATCTGTGGGAAATGGGCAGCACAAGTGACCTTTGTGCAGGTTTTTGAAAATGTGGATGATAAAACACTTAGCCTTCAGTGCTCCCTTTTTTCCTTTGAAATGGTGGGGTCCTTGCCCAGCAAGGAGCTGGTAAAGAGGAGCAGTCTAGCTCCAGTGTGGCCGACTAATGAGAGAGGATTCAGAAGCGGATGGCGGGCTTTGCAAAGAGTTGACCATTTAACAAAGCCTGGCACCTACGAAGGGATGTTGGAGTGATGGTGCTAGGGAAGAGGCAGGTATTAAAGACTGTATTAAAAACTGTTTCGAATGGAAATTTTACCTTTTTCTTGCTCCGTTTTATTTGTAGTAGGAAAAGATTTCTTTCAAAGCATCTGGGCAGCATTGGGAATTTCACACCCATCATTAGAACGATTTGTGTGTGTGTGTGTGGTGACTATGTTATCATTAGTGGTATAATTTTATTTTGCGAAGAGAGAAGTGTTTCCTGTTTTATCACAGCTTTCCCCGAGGAGGGCTGGTGTATTAATTTGCTGTATTGCCTCCTGGCTGTTCCCAGGCTGTTTTTCCTCTTCATCATGGAATTTTTAATGGCCCTACTGCCTCTTGGGAAGCATGTGAGGAAGAGTTCCTCAGGGAGTGCTTCCTTTTTTTCACATGCCTATAATTACTCTCCTGTAAGAGCACAAAGAGTCTGATAATCATGCCTGGACTGTGAAGGTTTCCTCCTGTCGGGTTATTGAGCGCAGGCTACTCCCTGCCTGGACAAGGCCAGTTCCGCTCTCCCAAGCCTCCTGCTTCATGAGACTGAGGGCTCCTCTGCCACCTCCTCCCTGCGGGGCCCTCTGCAGCTCTGCTTCTCCCAGGGAGGCCTGGGGGCCGCTGTGGGGGCGATGAGTGACCTCAGGGTGCTCTCTTGTTTAGTACTTCATTGCTATAAACAAAGAGGTAATGGGATGTGATTTTAGGAGAACATTTGATTGATGTGTCATCGTACTGTAGCCCAGATGGCAGGTACAATGAGAGCGAGTCTGTGGTCTCTGTACCACCTAATCGACTTGTGGGCTAAGAGGTTTTCAGAAATACCACTCTAGACTTAAGTCGGTGGTTTTCAACCCTGACTGTGCTTTTGAATCACTTGAGAAGCTTTAAAAAATATATCCATGCTGGGCTCCCACTTCCCAGGAGTGTGATTACATTGCAGTGGGGTGAGGCACAGGCATTGGCAGTAATTTGAAGCTCCCAGGTGACTCTAATATGCAGCCAGGGTTAGGAACTGTTGCCCCAAATGCACATGGTTTTATGACTGGTGCTTTGTAATTTGCTTAACAGGAAATCCCATTTCCTAATTGGCATGAGCCCCGTGCTTTGGCATTGGGAGCATGATTCTGTAGGGGAGGTAGAACCCTGGGCTCCTCTGAGCTTTGGAGAACTGCTGCAGGTGAAGAAGGGGGCGTTCAGGTCCAGTACAGTGCCCAGCACAGGGTGACTCCCCATGGGCGGAGTTGGTGGGTGGGTGTACGGATAGTTGGACAGTTGGCAGGGTACATGGATAAAATTCATAAACCAGTTTTGGTTGCTAGTACTGGGGTATTGCTATTAAAGTAGTAAGACTTGGTACTGGAGTTAACAGTTGCTGCGGCTCAAACAGCAGATGGTGTGGTTGGTGTTCTGGTAGAGACGTGGGATCGCTGTCAAGGACACAGTCGTAGAATGGTGATAAGGAGCTAGCGCTGTAGGCAGCATTGCCCAAAATGAGAGATTTATTGATTGTGAACGATAGCTGCTTTTTTTTTTACCATTATTGTCTTAGAAAATCATAACTAGAACTTACCAATTACTACATATCTTTGTATGATGCACAAGTCACCACTTGTCGTTTTTGAGCGTCTTGCAGCAGTTGGGAGTTCTCTCCAACTTCCCTGACCTTTCCTCTGTTTTGGGTGGTGACTTGGTAATGTATCACCATTCCCATTTATTCCTTCTTCAAGTTCTTAATCTCATATTAGTGTGAGGCAGACTCAGGTAAGAATCTTGGCTTTACCTGGGCACATGACTTAACCTCCCCATACCTCAACTTCCTCACTTTGAAAAGGAAACTATCGATATTTTTTTGAGCAAGCGGAGATCAAAATGAAATAATAGATTTGAATACTTAGCATACTGGTAGCTAAAATTATTATTTTTGTTATATAGTTACTACCCTACCCTGTACTTAGGATAACTGCAGTTTTACAAACTTTGAGTTGGCTTGTACAGTCATTCGCTAAGGAGATGTAGTACAGATTCTTGAGGTGCTTAAATGGCCTCAAGTGGACTCTAAGAGGAGGCATTTGGACCGTGTTTGGGTGAAAAGAGAGACCTTCCTGCCCATTAGAGAGTTGAAATGTGATGGGCTGCACTCATTGTGATTCATTTTATCTGTTCACAAGCATTATGATCTGCATATCAGAGTTGTGTGCCCAGCTGGCTGTGCCACTTGACAAGAGGTTTCAAAGAGCAAAATGAAGACTCAATTCATGCTATTAATTTTGACCTTTGGAGCCACAGTAAACAGCCTCAGGTTTTACCTCAGGGCTTGGGGGAAAGAACCTTTTATTAGTCCTCTGTCTGTTGGGGATGCTGTGATGCACGGCAGCTCTTGCTCACCTCTTTAGTGCCTTAGTTTTGGCCATGTATCAGGAAATGTTTCTGCTATAATACTGTCCATACGGCTGCCCTGTCCT